GTACGGTAGGGTTATAATTGAAAGAATTAGAGGTAAGACAGAATGTAGGATTGCGGATGAGCAAGGAGGTTTCAGAGTGGGTAGGGGATGTGTAGATCAAGTGTTTACATTGAAGCATATATGTGAACAGTATTTAGATAAAGGTAGGTAAGTTTTTATTGCATTTATGGATTTAGAAAAGGCATATGATAGAGTGGATAGGGGAGCAATGTGGCAGATGTTACAAGTACAGTGGACCCCCGGTTAACGATATTTTTTCACTCCAGAAGTATGTTCAGGTGCCAGTACTGACCGAATTTGTTCCCATAAGGAATATTGTGAAGTAGATTAGTGCATTTCAGACCCCCCAAACATACACGTACAAACGCACTTACATAAATACACTTACATAATTGGTTGCATTCGGAGGTGATCGTTATGCGGGGGTCCACTGTATATGGAATAGGTGGTAAGTTACTAAATGCTGTAAAGAGTTTTTATGAGGATAGTGAGGCTCAGGTTAGGGTGTGTAGAAGAGAGGGAGACTACTTCCTGGTAAAAGTAGGTCTTAGACAGGGATGTGTAATGTCACCATGGTTGTTTAATATATTTATAGATGGGGTTGTAAAAGAAGTAAATGCCAGGGTGTTCAAGAAAGGGGTGGGATTAAATTATGGGGAATTAAATACAAAATGGGAATTGACGCAGTTGCTTTTTGCTGATGATGCTGTGCTTATGGGAGATTCTAAAGAAAAATTGCAAAGGTTAGTGGATGAGTTTGGGAGTGTGTGTAAAGGTAGAAAGTTGAAAATGAACATAGAAAAGAGTAAGGTGATGAGGGTATCAAATGATTTAGATAAAGAAAAATTGGATGTCAAATAGGGGAGGAGGAGTATGGAAGAAGTGAATGTTTTCAGATACTTGGGAGTTGACGTGTCAGCGAATGGATTTATGAAGGATGAGGTTAAGCATAGAATTGATGAGGGGAAAAAGGTGAGTGGTGCATTGAGGTATATGTGGAGACAAAAAAGTTATCTATGGAGGCAAAGAAGGGAATGTATAAAAGTATATTACAGTGGACCCCCGCATAACGATCACCTCCGAATGCGACCAATTATGTAAGTGTATTTATGTAAGTGCATTTGTACGTGTATGTTTGGGGGTCTGAAATGGACTAATCTACTTCACAATATTCCTTATGGGAACAAATTCGGTCAGTACTGGCACCTGAACATACTTCTGGAGTGAAAAAATATTGTTAACCGGGGGTCCACTGTAGTTCCAACACTCTTATATAGGTGTGAAGCTTGGGTTGTGAATGCAGCAGCAAGGAGGCGGTTGGAGGCAGTGGAGATGTCCTATCTAAGAGCAATGTGTGGTGTAAATATTATGCAGAAAATTCGGAGTGTGGAAATTAGGAGAAGGTGTGGAGTTAATGAAAGTATCAGTGAGAGGGCTGAAGAGGGGTTGTTGAGGTGGTTTGGTCATTTAGAGAGAATGAATCAAGGTAGAATGACATGGAGAGCGTATAAATCTGTAGGGGAAGGAAGGCGGGGTAGGGGGTCGTCCTCGAAAAGGTTGGAAGGAAGAGGTAAGGGAGGTTTTGTGGGCGAGGGGCTTGGACTTCCAGCAGGCGTGCATGAACGTGTTCGATAGGAGTGAATGGAGACGAATGGTATTTGATACCTGACAGTCTGTTGGAGTGTGAGCAGGGTAATGTTTAGTGAAGGGATTCAGGGAAACCGGTTATTTTTATATAGCCGGACTTGAGTCCTGGAAATGGGAAGTACAGTGCCTGCACTCTTAAGGAGGGGTTCGGGATATTAGCAGTTTGGAGGGATATGTTGTGTATCTTTATACGTATATGCTTCTAAACTGTTGTGTTCTGAGCACCTCTGCAAAAACTGATTATGTGTGAGTGAGGTGAAAGTGTTAAATGATGATGAAAGTATTTTCTTTTTGGGGATTTTCTTTCTTTTTGGGTCACCCTGTCTCGGTGGGAGACGGCCGACTTGTTAAAAAAAAAAAAAATTTTTTTGGTCTGGAATGGATTAATTTTATTTGCATTATTCTTTATGGGAGAAATTGGTTTGGTTGTTGAACCAACATCTGGAATGAATTAAATTTGACAGCTGAGGTTCCACTGTATTAGCTGTCTGGAGTGACATCTAAACTCTCTTATCTGGATCTTGGCGCCTCTGCAAAAACAGTGATTATGTGTGAATGATTGAATTGTTGAATGATGGTGAGTGTTTTTTTCCTTTTATTAGTCACCCTGGCTTGGTGGGAGACTGCTGATGTGTTAAAAAAAAAGTAGAAGTGCTTCAGATATAGCTTTCTTACACTTTAATCCTTTCACTGTCGGTCCCGTAATACTACAGCTTGCAAGTCAGTGTCGGTCCCGTAATACTACGCCAAAATTCTAGTGGCTTCCAATCTTGTGGGAGATAGCTGGTAGGCTTACATATGAGAGAATGGGTCTGAGTGGTCAGTGTTTATCTGGAGTTTATCTGGAGAGAGTTCTGGGGGTCAACGCCCCCACGGCCCGGTCTGTGACCAGGCCTCCTTAGGTCAGTGTCCCAGGATGCGACCCACACCAGTCGACTAACACCCAGGTACCCATTTTACTGATGGGGAACATAGACAACAGGTGGAAAGAAACACGTCCAATGTTTCTACTCTGGCTGGGAATCGAACCCAGGCCCTCACCGTGTGAAGCGAGAGCGTTAGCCACCAGGCCACCAGAGCCTGGTGTGTGCAGTATGAAGAAATCCTGCAGCGTGCAGTACATAACGAGAAAAAAAACCTGCAACTGTGTTTTTGGTTTAAAACAGCGACTTTATGGTGTATTTTTGCATGGTAGTTTTGGTTGTATTCTCATTTTCTTGGTCTCATTTGATAGATTGGAGGATATATTACAGAAATAGAGATGACTAAAAGTACAGTGGAACCTCAAAAATCGAACTGCTCCCAACACGACCAATTATGTAAGTGTATTTTTGTAAGTGCTTTTATAAGTGTATTTTTGAGGGTCTGAAATGGACTAATCTAATTTACATTATTCCTGATGGGAATAAATTCATTTGGTAAAGGCACTCGAACAGCCTTCTGGACCGAAGAAGGTTCGATACTTGAGGTTCCATTGTACCTTGAAATTGAGCTGAAAGTGGCAAAAATGTTTAATTTTTGCCATTGTTCAAGAGTAAACAAATCACGTTATGCTTCCAATACACGTCAACTGGTAGGTCTAATATGCTTTCAGAAATGTGCTGATTTTATTTATACCATTTTTACAATAGTGCAATAGCCTGCTTAACAGTACATCTTCTATTTTTTATTTATTATTTTTATTATCACACTGGCCGATTCCCACCAAGGCAGGGTGGCCCGAAAAAGAAAAACTTTCACCATCATTCACTCCCTCACTGTCTTGCCAGAAGGGTGCTTTACACTACAGTTTTTAAACTGCAACATTAACACCCCTCCTTCAGAGTGCAGGCACTGTACTTCCCATCTCCAGGACTCAAGTCCGGCCTGCCGGTTTCCCTGAATCCCTTCATAAATGTTACTTTGCTCACACTCCAACAGCACGTCAAGTATTAAAAACCATTTGTCTCCATTCACTCCTATCAAACACGCTCACGCATGCCTGCTGGAAGTCCAAGCCCCTCGCACACAAAACCTCCTTTACCCCCTCCCTCCAACCTTTCCTAGGCCGACCCCTACCCCGCCTTCCTTCCACTACAGACTGATACACTCTTGAAGTCATTCTGTTTCGCTCCATTCTCTCTACATGTCCGAACCACCTCAACAACCCTTCCTCAGCCTGTGGACAACAGTTTTGGTAATCCCGCACCTCCTCCTAACTTCCAACTACGAATTCTCTGCATTATATTCACACCACACATTGCCCTCAGACATGACATCTCCACTGCCTCCAGCCTTCTCCTCGCTGCAACATTCATCACCCACGCTTCACACCCATATAGAGCGTTGGTAAAACTATACTCTCATACTTCCCCTCTTTGCCTCCAAGGACAAAGTTCTTTGTCTCCACAGACTCCTAAGTGCACCACTCACTCTTTTTCCCTCATCAATTCTATGATTCACCTCATCTTTCATAGACCCATCCGCTGACACGTCCACTCCCAGATATCTGAATACGTTCACCTCCTCCATACTCTCTCCCTCCAATCTGATATCCAATCATTCATCACCTAATCTTTTTGTTATCCTCATAACCTTACTCTTTCCTGTATTCACCTTTAATTTTCTTCTTTTGCACACCCTACCAAATTCATCTACCAATCTCTGCAACTTCTCTTCAGAATCTCCCAAGAGCACAGTGTCATCAGCAAAGAGCAGCTGTGACAACTCCCACTTTGTGTGTGATTCTTTATCTTTTAACTCCACGCCTCTTGCCAAGACCTTCTATTTTTTGTGTGAATATAAAAATTTAAAATAGAAAGCAAGCGTAATGTAAGAGGGGCCTGAAAATGTGACTAATGAATAGAGAAAATATTATTTTAGTGCTAGGAATGTTTGCATTGTTAATTCTGGACCCTATTTTGAAAGTGGCCTTCCTTGAATTTTGTATGAAATTGACCAAATTACCAATTTCTGATCTCTTTATTGGGTAGTTGAAATAGGTAAACTGGTGGTTCCTTGTACTCAATTGATAGAACAAATGGAGTTCTAGCGAAATAGCTAAGAGTTTGGTTGACTGGAACAATGGAATTGGCCGAAAATAGGGCAAAATCGCTGATGCGTAAATATCGCTGAGACCATTAACTTCGTGAGAGCGTAATTCCTAAGTTTTCCATCAGATTTCATACTTTTGGTTTCATTATCACTGGGAAAAGATTCTCTATCATTTCATAAGACAAAATAATTTTTTTTTTTAAATTCTTCGACACTGAGAACAAGTTTGCGAGGAGGGGCCATGACAGTGAAAGGGCTGATGTTGATAAGATAAAAAGGAAAATGTAGTTGAAATTATTTTTCACTATTATTTTTTGCAGGCTATTACAGGAGAATATCAACGTGAAAGATTGGCAGAAGAGGAGCGACAGATGGCTGCAGGTGTAGTGTCAGGGAGGAGCGGAGACTGTCTTAACTGTGGTTCTTATGTTAACTCTCAGATGCAGTGCTCTCGTGCAGGTAAGGTTGTCATTAACAGTTGAAATGAATAGAGAACAATTTGTGTGACTGTAGTTCTTTGACTACTACCTACAGGATGGGTATTGGATGAATAATTAAGATGAAATAAGTTTTCATAATTCATTTAGTTTTTTCCAGAGAACATTTACAGTTTTCCAGGAGCAAGGGACTAGTAATACCTCCTGTATAAATTACTATATTTAAAAAGAAAAACTTTTGTTTTTCTTTTTAGATCACTGCCTTGGTGGGATATGGCCGGTTTGTTGAAAAAACAAGATTTTTTTTTTTTACAGTTTTCGTAGTGCAGCCTTTCCTCACTTATCGATGGAGTTCTGTTCCTAAGACCACGTCGGTAAATGAGGTCATTGGTAATCGAGGAATCATCCCTTACTGATACTTCAAAAATGTCACCACCCAAAATTAAAATACAGGTCTGCCATCACAAATCTGGCATCCTTGGGACCTGTAGTGTGCCGGATTACAGAGTGATTAGATTAGAATACACTTAACCCCTAAACGGTCCATACGTTCTCTCCCAGTGCCCCGAATATTTTGAAAAATAAAAAAATTGTTTATTATTATTGAAATAAAGAGAAAATTTTTCTTAGTGTTATAGGAATAAAATAAAAAAATTAGGGTTAGTACTTACCGAGATATGAGGCTGCAAAGTTGGCATTTAATGCTCACCTGACGGCAACATCGAGTCCTGCCGCTTGCTGAAGTGTTGCTGATATACCTTCTATTCTCATTTTTATATTACGTATTTTATATAATTTTTATGTTCTGATTACAATTTATAGTAGTTCTTGTCATTTCATAACCAATCTTTGTTCTGGCATTAATATTAGGTATTGAAATTGTACTCAAATTGTTACAAAGAATTTGACAGGTGGACATTTACACCTGCCTTGGTCATTTACTATTGTCTAGGAATATATATAAAGTATTTTTAGGTCCCAGCAGTGTTTTGGATACACGGGAGTATAGAAGAAGGAAGAAGAAGAAGGAAGTAGTAGTAGTAGTAGTATTAGTAGTAGTAGTAGTAGTATTAGTAATAGTAGTAGTAGTTCCCTTGAAGCATGATGTCAGTGACAAGCATCCAGGAGGGCAGTGATAAGATGAGATAAGGGATGACATTTGATGGGTGCCTGGAGGTTGCAGAGATAAGATGAGATCAGAGATGACATTTGATGGGCTCCTGCAGGGTACAGAGATAAGATGAGATAAAGGGTGACATTTGATGAGCATTGGCATCTCTGTGTCTGCTTATCTGTCTTTCTATCTTGTCTCTCTGTCTGCTTGTTTCTCTTTCTGTCTCTCTGCTTGTCTCTCTGTCTCAGAGAGAGCCACTGTGAACCAACAGGTATTCTTATACATTATATCTACAAGCACAGTACGTATAGCACTTTGGATTTTTTAGGTTATCCTAGGTAATTTATACTATGTATAATTGTATTTATGTGTACCTGTGAGACAGAGATAAAGAGAGAGAGACAGAGATAAAGAGAGACAGAGACAGATAGACAGAGACAGATAGAGGCAGATAGAGGCAGATAGAGACAGAGACAGAGATAGACAGAGATAGACAGAGACAGACAGAGACAGATAGAGACAGATAGACAGAGATAGAGACAGACAGACCTTAAACGTGGGGTCAACATCACTTTCCTCTTAAAGGGGGAGTGTTAATATGACATTACATCAGTGAATCCTTGGTGTTTGCCACACTGTTTGCTCTAGTTGGCGCTCAGTTTAACTGGCGCTCCCACAAGGTACTAAGTGGTCCCAGATTTTTTTAATATGGTGCACGCCGAGTGTTAAGACCCATTCTATGGTGACCAGGCATCTCAGGCCAATCGTGCCAAATTTGGAGGCAGGAAAAATAAAACGTATACATGTATATACGTTTGGGCCCCTAGCCGTAAGAACGTAATAGTATAT